AAAGACTATTAAAATTTATTTCAAGTGGCATCTTATTTACTTACTCATACTTCCATTCTGGTTTTAGGAATTTCTACCTTATACCCTATATAAAATCAACTCAAAATGGATCCAAAGTGAGGCCTTACTTGCCTCACCTTAATGTTAGTTAAGGGAGGCTGGTGCAGTGGCACAGTGGTTTAAGCCACTGTCCACAGTGACAGCATCCCAAGGGGCACCAGTGGGAATCCCAGCTGCTCTGCTTCTGATCCAGCTCCCTACTAATGCACCTGGGAAAGCAGTGGAGGATTGCCCAGGTCCTTGGGGCCCCTGCACCTATGTGGGAGATCTGGAAGAAGCTCCTGGCTTCAGCCAGGCTCAGCCCCTGCTGTTGTAGCCATTTGGGGAGTGAACCAGTATATGAAAGATCTGGCTGTCTCTTCTCTGTCTCTGTCTCTGTCTGTCTCTCTTTCAACTAAAAAAAATAAATATTTAAAAAAAAATCTGCTTCTGGTTAAAGGCCAGACCAAATAAGGGCAGTGGTCTAGAGAAGTAAATTCCTAATTATCTTAACAAACAGGCATAGCGTAAAAAATGACAATCAAGAAAATACTGTAACTTAGAAATATGGACATAGATCCTAGAAAAAATAGCTGGAAGAGTTGAAAAAGGCTGCCTAAGTGCTGGCACTGTGGCATAGCAGGTAAAGCTGCTGCCTGCAGTGTCTGCATATGATAGGGGGGCTGGTTCAAGTCCCAGCTGCTCCACTTTTGATCCAGCTCTCTGCTATGGGCCTGGGAAAGCAGTAGAAAGTGGCCCAAGTCCTTGGGCCTCTGCACCCATGTCGGAGACCTGTAGTCAGTTGCAGGCTTCTAGCCTCATATCGACCCAGCTCCCGCCACTGTGGCTATTTGGGGAGTGAACCAGTGGATGGAAGACCTCTTCTCTTTCTCCGCCTCTTCCTCTCTGTAACTCTGCCTTCCAAATAAATAAATAAATAAAACTTAAAAAAGAAAAATAAAAGCTGCCTCTAAAAGATGAGAAACAATGGGGCAAACCACTGTTTTATAATAAACATGCTACCCTATATTTTAACTTTTAATTTGATTGTTAAAATGATATTACAAAGTCTAAAGCTCTCAAAAAGTTCGGAAAAGTCACAAACCAAAAAGGAAAAAAGCCAAGCAAAAGCAAACATTTTAGAAATTCTTGATGGGGCCCGTCGCTATGGCATGGTAGGCTAAGCCTTCGCCTGAGGCACTGGTTCACCTCCCAGATGCTCTTCCAATCCAGCTCTCTGTTATGTCCTGGAAAAGCAATGGAAGATCTTGGACCCCTGTGCCCATGTGAGAGACCAGGAAGAAACTCTTGGCTCATGGCTTCAGACTGGCCAGCCTCCAGCAAGATTTTCTCTCTGTCTCTCCCACTCTGTCTGTAACTCTACCTCTCAAATAAATTTAAAAAATGTAAAAAAGTAAAATTCCCGATTAACAAAAAAAGAAATTCTTTATGGATATGCTGCCCCATGCAGCTTTACAAGGACTGGAGACTACAGGTAACTTGCCATTTCGCTAGTGAAATAATAGAGAATCTCTGTTCTGCTTGCTTATGTGTATCTATCAGTTGAGGGAAAAAATACAAAGGAGAGGAGAGGAAAAACTCAAAGTCCCTCTGAAGTGACTTCTATGAATACCCACTGTATCTGATAAGAGTTGGAATAGTAGTTATTTCAATGGGTTACAAATTCTATCATGTCTAATTGTCCTATTAGATTGTGACTACCTTGAAAACAGGAAAATAACTTGGTTAACCTATATTCTCAATACAAAGATTCCTGGAACATGCTATCAAGTGCTCCCTAGCAGCTAAGGTGGGAAGCACACTACGACAAAGGCATGTCTATCCACCTACCTCCTCTCCCTGACCCCTTATTTAGTTATAATGAAACCACACTAACCATCACATTGGAAGAGAAGAGTCATGGCATACATGCAGTTAAAAGGAAACAAAAGTAGTGGAATGTTGCAATAAAGAATATATGCAGGGGTCAGCATTGTAGCATGGCAGGTTAAGCAGAGGCCTGGGATTATAGCTTTTATGGAATTCTATATGAACGCCGGTTTGAGTCCCTCTTGATCTGCTTCAGATCTAGCTCTCTGCTAAAGCACCTGAGAAACCAGAAGACAGACCAAGTACATGGGCCCCTGCGACGTATGTGGGAGACCTGGATGGAGTTCCAGGCTCCTGGCTTCAGACTGTCAGCCCAAACCTGGCCATTGCAGTCATCTGAGGAATGAACCAGTTGGAAAGAAGCTTTCTCGCTCTTTCCTGTTGTCTCTCCCTCTCTCCCTGTAACTTTGCCTTTCATATAAATAAATATATCTTTAAAAAATAATATTTGTAGTAGTAGTCAATCTGGTGAATAAGAAAGAATTAATCTTTAAAGAGAAAATGTAAAACCACAGTTACAACAGGAAAATATTAAGGGGTATGATAATACTGATTTTACTACAATGCACTGGACTAGAATCTCAGAGGTCATATCAAACTGTCATTCATATTATAATTTATACTTCATGGGACTATCTAGACTTACATTGGTGGGAATATCTATGTCATATACATACTTCAAAGAAATACTTGGACCAAGACTGTTTTATGTGGCCTTTCATTCCAAGTGGTTTCCTTTAACTCTGTTTAGGATTGCTGAATTTTTATTAGAAGCATTTTTTTAAATTAAAAAAAAAATCAAACTTAAGAAAATTGGTTTATTACATGAAAAAGCTTGTTTCACTTGACACATATGAAGTAGCAAATATATGATGATTTATTCTACTTAAGTATGAATGTATCTGGAAACAATACAATGAAAAATGCTGTAAAGTATTAGATTAACAATGTTTCTTCATGTTTATGGTTTTATATATTTGGAAAGAAGAGAAGTAAACCCTGCTATCCTTAAAGCACAAGGACCAACTGAGGCTTGGAGGATGGAAGAAGAAAACAATCTCTACTACCAAGATGCAGGCACACAAGGCCAGTTTAAGAGTGAGGCTAAACCACACAAAATAGAACATCACCCCACTCCCTGCCACCCACCACTCAGCACACCGCCACTCACCACTAGCAACATCAAGCAACAGCGGTACTGCTGAAAGAGATGTAAGTGTTGAAAGAGACATCTTTGGAGGCTTAGTCTCCTAGGGAAATTCAAAAGTTGAATGTGGAACAAAAACATTGAGAAAAAGTCTCCAGGAAATAATCCCCACCCTATACACAATGAAATACTACATGAACTGACCTTCACAGTACACTGAGGGTAACCATGGCAATGAGAAAACCAAATTCAGGACAACTCCTTACTAGATGAACCAAATCTCATACTAATGACCTAACATATGACATGCCCACCTCCAGCTACATACTATTTACCTCAGTCCTACACAATGTCTGGCTTTCAATCATGTTATACAACAAACAGAAAGGCATGGGGGAAAATCCACTCAGTGGACAAAGCAATCAGCAGAACTAGACTCCAATATGACTCAGATGTTGAAAATATCAGATAGAAAATTTTAAATTACTATGATTAATATGTTAAAACAGGCAATATGTATGACCAGAAGAGGAATTTCAGCAGAAGGTAAGAAACTAAGAATCAAAGTAAATGCCAGAAGAATATTTTAAAAATCACCATGAGAAGGTAAAAAAAAAAGTCTTTGATGTGCCCATCAGCATTCCTGGCATAACTGAAAAATGAATCAGTAAATTTGAAAGTAAGTCAAAACAGAAATTACCTAAGCTGAAGCACAAATTAAAAAAAAAAAAAGAAAAAAGAAAAAAAAGAAATGGGCATGGGGGCTAGAAACCAAAACAGACCATTTAAGAATAACGACTAACACAAACTGGTTTAACATATGTGAAGTGGGAACCCCAGAAGTAGTAAACAGAGGACAGCTCAGAAAATAACAATTTGGAGAAATGTCAAAAATAATTAAACACACAAAGAAACACATACATAAGCAAATGAACAAATCAGACTTAGATACATGACATAAATCATGACAAACTGATGAAAACTAGGATAAGATATATGAGGGCAACCAAAGAAAAATGACATATTACATTCAAGTATATAGAAATAAAGCTAAGACTTACAGCAAGGCATCTTGTGAGAAAATATACAAGCCAGGAGACAACAAAATTCTTCATATTGCTTAAATAACAAAACTAAAACAAAAATTGGCGATCTAGAATTCTATACTCACAAAAATCTTTCAAAAATGAAAACAAAAATTTAAAGAAAAAAGGTTTCTACCAGTAGATGTACAACATGAGATATATCAAAGGAAGTTCTGAGAGGAAAAGAATATGACAGACAGCAAACATAAAGAAAATAAAGAGTACTGAAAGTAATAAAAATGAAGGTAAATCTAAGAATATTTTTTAAGTTTTTAATTGCTCTAAAAGGTAATTGTCTTAAAGCAAAAAGTGTTAACACCAGGGGCAGGTGTCATGGTGCAGCAGTTAAAGATGCCACTTGGGATGCCCACAGCCCCTGTCAGGGTGCCTGGGTCCTCTGCTTCTCTGCTTCTGATCAAGCTTCCTGAAAATGTGCCTGCGAGACAGCAGATGATGGTCCAACATGGGAGACCTGGAGGGAGTTCACTCCCCAATGGCTACAACAGCCAGGGCTGGGCCACACTGAAGCCTGGAGCCTGGAACCACAGCCAGGTGTTCCACATGGATGGCAGGGGCCTAAGCACTTAGGTCACCTTCCACTGGTTTACTCCGGCACATTAGCAGGGAGTTGTGTCATAAGTGCAGCATCTGGAACATAAACTGGCACCCAAACGAGATGCTGGGTGCGCAGAGAGCAGGTTAGCATGCTGTGCCATCATATCAGCACCCATGTTATTAGTTACTACTGATGTATACAAATTGAAATGAAAAGTTTAAAACATCACATCAATACTTTCAAATGTATAAACTATTAAGGTATGAAATAAAACAAACTTTACCTTAGACACAGGTTCTTGTTCCTTAGTAGGAGCTTCATTTTTCAATCTTAAAAATAAAATAAGCACTGAATATTTTATTCTATACTTACAATGACAAAACACAAAAGTTATGATAACTAAAATGTACACATAAACTAATGTATATTTAAACCTTTAATAGTAAATGACCTCTGTAAATATTTTAAGGCAAAAATAAAATGGATTATTCATAAATGTGCTAAGTAGACATGTTTTTCTCTAAAAACAAAAGCATTTAAGAAGCATTCTCTTTGCTAACTTTTAAATTAAAAGACATAATACATTTAATAAAACAGCTCAAAGAATTAAAAAACAGGTTACATGCTTTATAAATATAATATGCATCACTCTATACTATTATAGCACTTAAAATGTGAGAGAAGATAAATATTTTATTTACTGTGAAATTCAATGATGCTACTTCAGTATATATTACAATTAACTTACTCTGGAGGCAGTGAAATCACAGAAATAACCGAAAATTTTAATAAATATAAACTTTTAAAAACCTTCATAAGCATTTTTCAAATGTTAATCATATTTCTTAATTCCTTGATTTCTAAAAATATTACAAATTATTATTAACATTAACAAAGTCATATGCTATGTAGAAAATCTTGTAAAATAATTTAAATTCCAGATCTTCCAAAGGATCCTTGTTTTAAAAAAAAAAACGGCTGATGACTACATACTATTTGTTAATACTACACATTAGAGTTATTTTTAATCTGCATAAGTAGGAAGCCTACCTGATCTGAAATGTCATTAATCATGACTTAAGTGTTTTATAACTTTAGGAAGGCTTAAAAGCTACACTTAAGGGACACTATATTTAAAATAAGCAACAATCATATTGACTAAAATTTCATGGACAAAAATGAAGATATCTAATAGGATAGAAATGTCAATGATCTTATGGTTAGTCAATAAAAAATGGAGTTGGCAAACACCCTCTTTTTTACCCATTCTCTGAGGGCACATTTAAAAATATGAGGAATATAAATGCTAAGTTTACTAGATACTAATAATAGTTAAATGTGTAAAATTATTTATATTTTAGTTGTTACACAAAACTGCAAACAACGTAAGGTATATCATATCCATTTTTACAGAAACACTACACTGGGAGTATACTATAGTAACTTAAAACCAATTTGTTACAATGAAATGAATAAAACTATCACAAAACACTGATAAAATATAAAAATGTCAATAATTTTTTGGGTTACAGATTCAGTAATTGTCTTAAGTACTTACTTGTGAACAATAGTCATACAGATGAGACTACATAAAGTATATAATACAGTTTCATTGCTTTCATGAAATGTATCAGAAAATTGGAATAGTTTTAAAAATAACATGTACAATATATAAAGTAGTAACAAAAATGAAAAATTATGTTAAAGAAATAAAAATATCTATGATTCATAAAGTTTTAGAATAAATCTGTCTATTACAACTGATATTTGTTTCTAAGCATTTAATTATTTTAAATTCAGTTTGGAAAACTTGTAAAACAAATTGGTCACAAAGCATTTTAAAAATATCTCATCAAAGATTTCTTTCAGCCATCCTTTAAAAATATTATCAGTAAAACCTTACATCCTTACAAAGGAAATATTACCATGCTAATCATTTCCACATAAGGCTATTGTAACTAATATTTATGCAGCAATGAAAATGAAAGCCATTAAACGTGTTTAACTATTACTGCTGGTATTTAAATTGGAGAAAGGGAGCCCTCTTAATGTCTATGCATAAAGGTTGGTGACAGTGAGAACAACAGAAAGTTATTGAAATAACTAGTATAAAGAGGCATATGATACCAATCTTATTGTATTTCCCATACTTTTATTCTCTTCAAGGGACAAAACTGCAATAGCCAGCAAAAACTTTTAGAAAAACAAATCTAACAAAAAAACTAGAAAAATACATTATCCAATTTGTTATATAAACTCATCCCCTAACATATGAACTAGTATTTTAACTATTAACTTTTAATGCAACTAATAATACATCATTTTCTTACCTGTAATTCTTATTCATTAAAGATGCCTGCTGAAATAGTCATCATTTGAGATATTCAAATGCTTTGGCAGAAGACAGTGAAATTTGCTAAGCTCAAAGTTCTGAGCTAATAACCTCCCATTAGGTAATTACATTTGTTGCCTATAAATGTTGCCATGTTTTATAGAAAAATGTAGTGTAGTTTTTAGTAAAAAATGAAGATTTCAATGCAAAGGAGAACAAAACAACTTACAGGCTAACAATTTCAACATTAATGATCAGAACTCCAACTAACTTTTCTTTTATGGAAACTTGTCAAATAAGTCCTTTCTGATACATTTCTACAGGAAAATCTTTTCTCTCTAAACTCTAAAATGAAATAAATAGCACTATTTGCATTTTTCTGTAGGTTACATGACCAATACAAAGTTACACATAAAATCAATATTCAGGTTCAATTATACTTGTACATTCTTCTGAAGTTTAATTCATATAATAAACCATGGAACATGAGAAGGAACTGTAAGGAGAAAGATCTTAAGGTTCACTTCAGTTAGGCCACATTCCTACTTTTCAGTAAAATTTAAAAGCCAAAATTTCAATGCTGATTTTAAAAATATAATCTTAAAAGAATGTTTGTACACATATTACAAAAGCTAAAAAGCAGTTGTACAAGCCAGTAGTAAACAAGTTCTCAACACCTTCCACTTGAGGGGTAGGGAATCTTTATTCTGTGTAGGGCCATTTGCATATTTGTAACATCATTTGCAGGTCACAAAAATTTATCAACATAAAAACTAGCCTGCTATAAACTGAATTTTGAGTTGCCTTGGCAGGGCCAGACCAAATCATTTCACACAGGTCTTACACGGTCAGGGGGTCAGACATTTCCCACCCCTGTCCCTCAGGATTAAATTTAAGACAGCAATAATCAGTCTAAGAAATAGCAGTAAAACATCTAGAAGAAAGTGTTAACAGATTTATGTGTGGGGAGGGTGTCTGAACTAAACAGTCACCACAGACATCAGGTACTGTGCTAAGTGTTTCTTTCCAAATGAAGGTTTTGGGTGATGATAAAACGTTAAAACCAACTGCCCCCATTATCTAGATGAGAAGAATCTAAGGCCTAAAATACTGAAGTAATAAAGCAATTAGGAACAGAACCAAGTTTAAAGGTGTGGGTTCTATTTCAAATTTCCACTGTACTACCTGCACAGCCAATTATTCTCCTATCAATCAGGCTCCATTATCAGCATGCTGAGAAAAGTGAAAATGTTTAATTTCCCTCTGCCTCCAAACAGTTTCTACCCTGGAACATGCTGAGTATCATCACCAATTAGTACAACTAACCAATATATGTTATCTTTTGCTCAAACAATCTATTGTCTGTACACATAGAAATAATGCTCTAAGATTAGGAGGCTACATCATCATCCCAATACAACAACTGTGTCAGCTCCTGCACAGACTCCTGTCAGAAGAGGGCCTTCATTCTGGAACTAACTCCTATTCCATTCTCAGCCAATCATAATCAAGGAAGGAAGTACAAAGGTACTTCAAAAAGCTTGTGGGAAATGGAACTTAAAAATAAACTCATTTCAGTGCAAAAATTTTTTGAAATCCATGCATAGATGTTCACAGAAAGTATATATTATGAAAAAATTATGTGTGGAATTAAAAATATTTTTGCACCAAAATAAAAGCATCTATTAATTCCCCTTTTCCATGAACTTTTTGAACCTCTCTTATAAGTGGTAATTCAGTGCTAGTTATTAGTATGTCATGGGTAGAATCTATGATCAATTTTCCTGGCCAGAATTTGCTTAACAGTGAACAATACAGGCTCCTTTTAACCTCCAAAATTCTTCCACCATTTTATCTTTTGCCATGCCTCCACATTACTTTCAAACACAATACATTAGATATTAATCTTAATTCCTGAGCTACTCTCCTTAAAGCTGGTCTTATTTGCTCTAATATGAAATGATCTACCTATTTCTAAACATATGAATATGATTTTCTAAAAGATAGGGCAGAAAAATAATTCTAGAAAGCAAGAAGACAGAACCAGGCAAAGACAGACAACCATGATGTAAAACAAAATGATTGTGTTTGAAAGTGAAAGGGAAAATACAAAACCAAGACCATCACTGGAAGTAGAAAATTTTAAAAACAGAACACAGCTTCTTTGTTGTTTAGTTGACAATACTGAATTATACTCTTTATAATCTATAGGCAATTACCTTCAGGATCCAGGGACTGGAAAAATGGGGTTAAGTTCAGAATCACCAGTAAGCTTGTCCTAAATAAAACACTTTACCCAAGTTTCACTTATGTCTCCTTGCGTTGCCCTTTCTTCCCTGCTTAGCAGGTATCAAAGGCAGAAGTCCAACTGCCAGAAACCACCAGATCTTGATGCAGAGCTTCTACCTACTGATTTGCAGTTACAAACTAGTGTCAAATATTATGTATAGTTTAAAAAGAAAAAATTATTTCACAAGTCCCTAAAGATTTTGATTTGAAATATTAAAGTCCATAGTAGGAAGAAAGTATCCAGAGGTAAGATCCCCCAAACTCTAATCCCACTCACATTTCAGAAGTTTACAGAAGGAAACAAACTCAACATGAGCTCACAGATTAGATCAGTTGGCTTTTTTTTTTCTTGTTAAATATATGAAGACATCCTGACTATTAAGAATCCTTAAGATTTGATAAACTGGATTGTGGGGAGCAAACCGGACTAGACTGTTACTGGAATTAAGACTTATTCTATGCATCTGCTCTCCCACAATATGGCGCTGGGAGAGAAGTAAACAGCTCCCGCACAGCTGCCTCCAGTTCAACCAATTAACTGTAGGACTTGCTCCTGATTGGAGAGCAGCGTACTCAGCCGAGTTGGGATTGGCAGAGAAGGACTATAAAGGAGGAGAGAGACGGCATGCACCAGGAACATCTATGGGGAACATCTGAGGGAACCCGTGCAGCCCCCGAGAGAACCGGCCGGTGGTGTGCCGCTCCCCT